GAGCCCAGCGTCTTCATCCGGGGACCATGGCGGCTGGCCCAGAGGCCGCCATTCCGCCGTGTCTATCATGCAGCCCACGCGGGGGCGCTGCCATGGTGTAGTTCTATTTTGTATATATGAACTTTAATCGACGTCAACAGCGTTGAGTCCTAGCCTCGCCCTGTTTGCTGTTGTCATTCAGATCCATTTAGGTTGCCGTGCGGACGGCCGACTTCACTGCTCCCGGCCTCCGCAGAGTCCTTCGCTGTGGATGCTCCTACCTCCCCAGGTCCTCTGATTCCCACCATAAACAACACCGTAAGGAACATCTTCCCGCTGGTGGGCACCGTGGGAAGTTCTTCAGCCACTTTGCGGAAGAGTCGAATTGCTGGGGTGTGAAATCTGATGACGCCTGATTTAATGTTTTACCAAATTGCTCTTTAGCGTGGCTGCACAGAGAAACAAAACCGGTTCTGCGTCCTCACTCTTCCTGTTTCACGCCTGGACCTGAGGGTTTCGGGCTTAAAGCTGAGGAATGCGTGGCCTTTGTTTCCCGTCGTTCCGACTGCTCCTTCTCTGAGCAAATACCAGACTGGGAGGGAAGGCGGAAGACTAGGATGCACAAGTTGTTGCGGTAGCTCAGGTTCATGGCTCAGATTCTGGCCCCCGCTGATTGGCTAACTGGCTAACCCAGGGAAAGGGTAAGCGTTGGCAGCTGGAAGCCAGGGCCAGACTTTTAGGTGGGGAAGAGAATTTCGCTCATGCGCGAGCACCCTCTGGTGGTGTAATCACCCCATCACACCCTGAGGGATTTTGTCCCTTGTTAACTCTCAGCTAATTTAATCGCATCTAATTCAATCCAAATGTTATGTATTGGACACTGTGTGGGAGACCAATAGTGTCCCATCAGACTAGCACTGACCTCCAAATGTAATTTCAAACTTCCCACTAGTCACATTTTTTAAAAGAATTATTTGTTTATGTATTTATGCATTTATTTTTAATTTGACCAGAGAAGTGGGGAGAGAGAGAGAGATTAAGTGAGAAAGCAAGCCGCCCGGTATGGGACTCGAACCGTAGTCAGCCCTGTGGGAGTCCAGTGCCCTTCACCACCACGCCATCTGCCGGCCCCACTAGTCACATCTTTAAAAGGTTTTTACCATATGGTGCGTGCACTCGCTGGAAAGAGGCAATGAAAGGGAGAAATCCCCGCCGGGGGACGGCCGTGCTGCAATCCCTTCTCCTATATTCTTCTCCTGGGATTTTGGGCACATATACATGCAAGCCCGCTGCGAATCTCAAGTTGCCAGGTCCAGGACTCAGACCACACTTGGTCATGTGGGAATTCAGTGCCTAAATCACCATGTCACCTGCTGACCCTAAATGATGAAACTTAAAGAAAAAAATCCAAGGGGCCAGCAGATGGCATAATGGTTACATTGCTAGATTCCCACATAGTCGACCCCAATGACTGGAAACTCACGCGGGGTGCATGTGCATGCATGCCCAAAATCCTGAGAGGAGACTGAAGGAGACAGGATCGGGACATGGCCATCCCCTTGGGGAGTGATTTCTCGCTCCGTGTCTCCGTCTTTCTGGCAAGGCCACACATACCCTATAGTAAAAACCTCTGTTTGGGACGAGCAGTTGGCATAATGGCTATGTCGCGGGACTCCCATGTAGTTAACTGCGGATCTAGTCCCAGACCCGGTGGCTTAAACTCACACCAGGTGCGCGTGCGTGCGTGCCAAGATCCCAAGAAGAGAATGGAGGAGAAGAGACTGCAGCAAGGCCATCCCCCCAGGGGGTGATTTCTCACTTTCTGTCTCTGTCTCTCTGTGTTTTTCTGGCGAGTGCACGCGCCCTATAGCAAAAGCCTCTCCAAAAACAAACAAGAAAAACTTCTACTTTAAAAAAAAATCCAAATGGGCGATAGGTGGCGTGCTGGTTAAGGGGGCTGGACTCCCACATGTCCAACTGTTCAAGTGGTTCGAGTCCTGGACCTGGTGGCTTGCTTTCTCACTTTCTCTCTCTCTCTTTCTCTCTGTTCCTCTCTGGTCAAATTAAAAATAAATAAATAAATAAGTTAAACTTTAAATAAAAGTCCAAACAAGTATATATTATATTATGAAGGGAACCAACAGGAGGATAAATTATAATGTAAGCCATTACCAAACAGGGCACTTTATTACGTATATACATACGTACCCTCCATCTTGCTGCCCCTCTCCTCTCCTGTAATGAGTGACTTTGTTCTGACCCCCACTGTGATGGTAAGAGGAGGCCATCAGGTCCCCAGGGGAGGCCCTCCTGAAAGGGCTCATGCAGGGGCTCAGTGCCCTTGTAAACCCACCTCACCGAGCTCTCTGGCACCCTCTTTCTGCAAGCCGAGATCACAACGCAACGGCCCCACAGAAGCAGGTGGCACGCAGGCCTCGACTTCCAGCCTCTAGCCTGGGAGGATACATTTCTGTTGTTGGGGCTGGCAGGTGGCATGGTGGTTAAAGGCTCTGGACTCCCACTTGATTGACTGCGGTTCAAATCCCAGACCTGGTGACTTGGTTTCTCACTTTCCCTCTCTCTGTCTCTCTCTGCTCAAACTGGAAAATAATAATAATAAATAAAGCTAATTAAAAAATAATTCTTAAAAAAAAAGTCTGTTGTTTACAAGCTACTTAATCTATGGTCCTTTGTTAAAGCAGCCAAAGCAAGACCACTCCCCACCCTCCCTCCTCTCTCGTATACACATGCACAGAGGCTTAATTACATCTCCACTGATTACCTAGTTAACATAGATGAACTCAGTGCTGGCAGGTGGTGTGGTGGTTGAGGCAGTGGATTCCTACATAGCCCACCATGATTCAAGTCCTGATCTGGCAGCTTGCTTTCTCACTTTCCCTCTCTGTCTCTGTCTCTCTGTACTGAGCATGTGTACCTATAGCAAATTAAATAATAATGAATGAAATATATTTAAATTCTTCACTTAGCTCTCTGCATATACTAATATTTAATTTCCTTTTTTTTTTTTTTGAGAGGTTTTTGCTATAGGGTGTGTGTGCTCACCAGAAAGGCAGAGAGAGACAGCGGCAGAAAGCGAGAAATCACCCCCCAGGGGGGATGGTCACGCCGCAATCCCTTCTCCTCCATACTCCTCTCAGGATCTTGGGCACTCATGCACACGCGCCTGGCGTGAGTTTTAAGCCACCGGGTCTGGGACTCGAACAGCAGTGTACTACATGGGAGTCCAGTGACATAGCCATTACGCCAACTGCTGGTCCCTGTGAATATTTAATATCTCTTAAATTAATCCCTGGTATTAAATTCATATGTAATCATTCTATAAATAGAGATACCAAGTGTTAAGGAGGCATATTTGAATGTTCATTGTACCATTCTTGCGACTTTTCTCCAGGGTTGAAACTTTCCAGGATAAACATTCCAGGGAAAAGACGACGAATGCGTCTTTCTCACCAGGCCCCTCTGGAGTCACTCGGAGAATCGCCACTGAGCTCAGTCCGACTCCAGCCAGGACGCCACCTCCGCCGGCGCAGTCACTCGCCTCCCCGCCCAGTGGTCGGCAGGCGACCCCATTTGCCATCATCTTCCTGCTAACCCGTTCGCCAGGTTTCCCAGGTCTCTTCACACACACACACCCACGCCCTCCCACCCTGCTGGGCTGAACCTCACCCTCGGGGTTGTCCCCGCCCTACTCCGGTCTGTCTCCAGGGGCAGCAGGAGGGCAGGCAGGAGGGCAGACGGTACACCGAGGACACTTGCTAAACACATAACGATGTGACCTCGTGTGGACAGGCTCTCAGCCCCGTATCGGGTGTCTAGACCAAGTCCATCCAGTAGATGCTCAATAGGATTTGGTGAATTAAGTGCCCGGAGGATGGGGACCTGCTGTTCTCAGCCCTAGCCCTGGGCCTTGAACACCTGACACACGGGAGGTGCTCAGCACATATTGAGTGAACGAGGGTTAACTTGCCAGCGGGTGGAGCGGAGCCTCCTCTGCGTTCAGCTTCCTCTCCTTTCCTGCCAGCACCCCCTGCACGCAGGTGCTCTGCGAACACGTGCCCGGCACCGACCTGGGGGCGGGGCCGGCGGCTCTGTGACGTCACGAAGGCCCTGCCATGCCTCTGGCCTTGGCCCTGAGGCTGCTGCTGCTGGGCCTGGGCGCCCCGGCGGGCTGGGGCTGCCTGCAGTGTGACCCCTCGGTGCAGGAGGCCCTGGAGCAGCTGCGCCTGGCCCTCATCCCCAGCCACTTCGAGCTGGAGCAGCTGCAGCACCGCGCTCAGGCCCTGCTGCTGGGCATGCAGGGGCCTTTCTTCCGGGACTACGCCCTGAACGCGTTTGTGGGGAAAGTGGGTGCGTGCAGGCAGGGGCCAGCCGAGCTGGGGTGTGGGGTCGCTAGGCTGGGGTGGGAGAGGGATGCTCTGGGACCGAGGGAGGGGTGGTTCTCGTGGCTCCCTGAGAGCCCGCGGCCATTTCTTTCCCTCCCGCCCGCAGGCACAGAGCCTCTGGAGCTTGTGGCGAGCTTTATTAAGAACCAGACACATCACTTAATGGTTAGCTCTCTGAAAGGTAGGCGGCCACACCCTCCTCTGCCCAGGTCCACTGGCTGGCCTAATCATAAATAGGTAAAAGCCAGCACGCGTGTGGCCCTACTGTGTGGCCTGGTACCAAGGGCTTCCCTTAGAAGCGTTCTTGCTGGCTCGTGGAGGTGGGCGCTGCTGTGACCTGCACTTACGGAGGGCTGAATGAGACTCAGAGAGGTTCGGCCACCCGCCGGAAGTCACGCAGCTGAGGAGTAATAGAGCCCGTCCCCACGTCCCAGATTGCCTCCTCGCGATTTCTATTTTCTAACTCCTAGGGCAGCTTCATAGGGTAGGTCCTGGAAAATACCTGTGGTTATGACCGTGTCCCAGCAGGGGGTGGTAGAGGGTGTTCTGTGAACTTGTTCAGGGTGTGGTGTGAGCCCCCCAAACTACCTGAAGATAGATGATAGATGGGTATAGATAGGTAGATATTAAAAATGGTGAGGTAACACGTGCATTCGCCAGGGAGGCAGAAGGAGGAAGCACCCCCGACAGGCCCTGGGCACGTCACCCCGGTAGGACCTGGGGCATGCCCGCACACGTGCCAGGTGTGTTTTCCAAGCTGCAGGGGCCAGGATTTGAACCACGCAGTCAACTGTGTGGCTCCTGGCTCCCTTAACCCCCAGGCCACAGGGCCGGCCCGGGTCATACCCCATTACAGTTCCGTGGTAGAAGTGGCGTGGGGCCTCTCGGGCTTCTGACACGTCTGGTTTCTCCTTGGGTTTGGTAGAGCTCCCGGGTATCTCCCCAGAAAGGTCCTTCCCCCTTTTACCTGTAAGGGGTCTGGGCCGCGAAATGATGAGAATGCTGCGTCCCCAGTCTTTCCTCTTTAGTCCCCCCCGCGATTCCTGCCCCTGTTCGCTCCTAACACCAGCAGGTGGCTGAGGCGAGAAGCTCACATCTAGACGGATGCCCGCCTCCTCCTCCCTGCTTCGTCATGGCCACGCCACGTGTCGGGGCCCCTCCAGGTGGGTCCTGCCCGTGGCCTCTTCCCGCCACCCTGCAGGAACCCTCTGAGGCCCCATGGACTTGAAGGCACCAGGGTGCCCAAAGACTGCCTTATCTTCAGTGGCTCACTTTTTATACGGGGCACGGGGCACGTAGTTTACAGACCTCCCGTGAGTCCAAGATCAAAGGTTCGCTCCTGGGCCAGCCGGGGGCGGTGGTTAAGGCGGCTGGACCCCACAGGCCGATGGCGGGGTTGGAGTCCTGTTGGAAAACAGACCGGAATGTGTGTGTGTGTGCCTACAAATCCCAAAGGAGAAGAAGAAGGGATGACAGCCTGGCCATGCCCCACGGTACTTTCTTTCCCTTCTCTCTCTTTGTCTTTCTGTCTCTCTCTGGTGAGTGCATATGACCTATTCCAAAAAAATAAGTTAAGATTGGCTTTAAAAAAAAAGTACCATTCGGGGCCAGCAGATGGCATAGCAGTTACACGGCTGGACTCTCACGTAGCAGCTGACCAAGATTCAAACTCCAGACTCAGTAGCTTGAAAATCACGCAGGGTGCATGTGCATGCATGCCCGAGAACCAGGGAGAATAGAAGAGAAGAGATTGTGGCCTGGCCACCCCCTCCCCGCCCCAGGTGACCTCTCACTTTCCCTCTTACTCTGTCCATTTGTCTTTCCAGCAAGCACATGTGCCCTAAGGTAAAAACTAAACCTCTAAAAAAAAGTATCACTCTTTTCTTTTTATAAGAGAGATTTTTGCTATAGGACATGTGTGCATGCCAGAGAGACAGAGACAGAGACAAAGACAGAAAGCAAGAAGTCACTCCCATGGGGGATGACCACACCTCAATCCCCTCTCCTTCACTGTCCTCCCAGGATCTTGGGCACACATGCACATGCTGGGTCCGGGACTCGAACCACAGTCAACTACGTGGGAGTCGAACGACGTAGTCATTGTGCCATCTGCTGGTCCCCCACTCCTATCTTTGTGGGAAAGAAAATGAGGTTCCCTGAGAAGCAGGCCCCCCAGCTGGGAATGCTTTGACTTTGAGGCCTGGGAGGCGGCGCAGCACACAACGGTGACCGGCACTGTCAGGTCTGGCACGTCTTGAGCACTTACTGCGTGCTTGTCACTATGCAGGCACTGCGCCAGCGGCCCGGAATGCAGTCCTGCAGAAAACAAGCACAAGTCCTACCTTCGTGAGCTCACGTGCTAGAGGGAGAGATGGACAAGAAACAAGATACGGCGTTATAATATGTGGGTGCGTTGGGGCCAGCAGGTGGCGTGGTGGTTAAGGCACTGGACACTCCCACATGGCCGACCACGGTTTGAGTCCTGGACCTGGTGGCTTGCTTTCTCACTCTCTCTCCTCTGTGTGTCTCTCGTTGGTCAAATTAAAATAAATGAGTCAAATTAAATAAATAATTCCTTACAAAAATAATAATGATATGTAGGTATGTTTAGAGGTCTCAGGACCACACATTTGGGTTCAGTGATTTGTTAGAACTCAGAGCTTAGCAGCGCCGTTGAATTTCTGGTTGGTTCATTACAACGAAAGGATAGAGATTAAAATGAGCAAAGGGTGGGGACCAGCAGGTGGCATAGTGGTTATGTAGCTGGACTCCCACATAGTTGACTGTGGTTCGAATCCTGGCCTTGGCAGCCTGAAACTCATGCAGGGCATGTGTATGTGTACCCAAGATCCCAAAAGAATGGAGGAGGGAGAATTGTAGCAAGGTTCTGTCTCTCTGGTGAGCACACACGCCCTATGGCAAAAATTGATTTCTTCCTTCTTTTTTTTTTTTTTTTTTTTTGGAGAGGTTTTTGCTATAGGGCACATGCGCTTGCCAGAAGGACAGAGAGAGACAGAGAGATAGAAACTGAGCAATAACCCCCCAGGGGAAATGGCCACGCCGCAATCCCTTCTCCTCCGTTCTCCTCTCAGGATCTTGGGCACGCACGCACACGCGCCTGGTGTGAGTTTAAGCCACCGGGTCCGGGATGTGAACCACAGTCAACTATGTGGAAGTCCAGCGACATTGCCATTAGGCCAACTGCTGGCCCACAAAAATTTCTTAAAAATAAATAAGCAAAGGGGAAAGGCGTGAGCGTCCAACTGTCCCCGCCCAGTGGCGTCATCCGTTCTCACAGCCATGAAGTGGCAGCCCTCAGAATATCGCTCAGGCCGGCTCCCCCGGCCTCCATGTCCAGAATTTCACAGGAATCAGTTACATGGGCCTGGATGACCTTCCAGGCTGACCTCTGGAAGGGCCAAAGGTCGAGTCCTACTGCGTGGCTCCAGGCCCCCACCATGCATCACAGTGTTAGCACAGACCACCCCGCATGCCCCAAGGCTGCCAAGTAGACCAGACATGGTGACCAGCAGGATGTTCCAGGCCTCAGAGGTTCCCTCATAGGAGCCAGGCAAGAGCTAAATCTTTATCTGGAACATGCAGGATTTGGACAACCCTGGGCTACCACGATGGTCCTCGACTGCACGGTAATAATATATGTGGGGCCGGCAGGTGGCGTGGTGGTTGGGGGTGCTGGATTCCCACGTGGCTGACCGTGGTTCGAGTCCCAGAGCTGGCAGCTTGTTTTTCACTTTTTCTCTCTCTCTTTCTCACCCTGTCCCTCTCTGGTCAAAGTAAGTAAATAGGGACCAGCAGGTGGTGTGGTAGTTAAGGGGTTGGACTCCCACATGGCCAACCACAGTTCAAGTCTTGGACCTGGTGACTTGTTCTCTCACTTTCTCTTCTTCTCTCTTTCTCTCATCAAATTAAGTAAAATTTTTAAAAATTAAATAAAGTTAAATGAAATGATTCTTTAAAACAAAGATAATATGTTAGATGGTGGGGACGTAATTGAGAAAAAAAATGAAAGCAGGCCCAGGGGTAGGAAGTGCCTGGAGTGGAAGTGGGGTGTCGTTTGAAGCAGGAAGCTAAGAAAGCTGTCACTGACAAGGCAGCGAGTGAGGAGACACCCACAGGAAAGGGAAGCAGCCAGGCGAGGGCTGGGGTCGGAGAGCACCAGGGAGGCCAGGATGGCCAGACTGAGAGAGACAGAGAGACGGGAAGACAAGGACATAGTGTCGCAGAGCGTCAGGAAAACAGGGTTTGCTATGCTGCATGCTGGCAGGTGGCCCGTGGGTGTGAGGAGAGAAGGAGCCAACCAGAATCGTGGCACCTCTGACTACTACAGTAAGATGAGAAGCGGGCACGGAGCAGGCGTGGGGAGGATCAGGGTCAGCATCGGATCTCCTGAGTTGAGGCGCCTGTTACAGGGCCACACAGATCTCATGAAAGCTGGATTACAAACATGGACTCCTGAGAGTGGTCTAGACCAGTGACAGAAATGGGGCAGGCGTTGGAGAACAGAACAGCATAATCCAATAGAAATACGAAAAAATGAAAAGAAAAGACACACAAAAAAATAGAACCTGCTAGTGGCATGATGGCTAAAGTGGCTGGATCCCACATAGCCAATTAGGCGGTTCGAGGCCTGGGCCCTCCAGCTTGAGAGATGCTGGGCATGTGTGTTGTCATGCCCAGAATCCTGAGAAGGGACCGTGGCATGGCCATCCCCCGAGGCCATTTCTCACTCTCTCCCTCTCTTTCTGTCTCTGGTGAGCACACACACCCTACAGCAAAAAAAAAAAAAAAAAAAAAATTAATGGAGGGGCAGTAAGTAGCATGGTGGTTAAGGCACTGGACTGGTGCCGCATGGTTGTCTGTGGTTTGAGTCCCGAACCTGGTGACTTGTTTTCTCACTCGCCCTCTCTCTCTCTCTGGTGAGCACCTGTGCCCTATAGCAAATTTAAAATAATAATAATAATAATAATAATAATAAACACATTTAAATAATTCCTTTAAAAAAGGAGAGAAAGAAATAGGGTGTGAGCCACAATGAGGAGTCACATTTGCAATTTAATTTTTCCCATAGCTACATTGTTAAAAAATGGTAAATAGGGACAAGCAGGTGGCATAGTGGTTAAGGCGCTGGACACTCCCACATGGCCAACCGGGGTTCAAGTCCTGAATCTGGTGGCTTGCTTTCTCACTTCCTCTCTCTCTCACTCTCACCCTCTGTCTCTTTCTGGTCAAATTAAAAAATAAATGAATAAATAAAATAAAATAATTATTTTTAAAAAATGGTAAATAGAAATGCATTTTAATGTATTTTAAATTTTTCCAGAGGGTGTGCTCACCAGAGAGAGATAGAGAAAGAGAGAGGGAGAGGGGAAGCCCAGCAGTCGATCTACAGCCTCTGCTCCTCCATAGAGAGAGAGAGAGAGAGAGAGAAAGAGAGAGGGAGAGGGGAAGCCCCCAGGGGGTCTCAGCTGGGTCTCATGGCACTGTAATCCCCTTTCCAGTCTTCAACCCCTCAGAATCTTGGCCTGTGTGCAGGCTCCAAGCCAACCTGGGTATCCAAACCCTGGACCAGCCATGTGGCTTTC